CATCTAGTCTTTCTGTGAAAAAGGCCTCTGTCCTAAAGCTTCAGATTAGTGGCAGGTTGACACATATCTAGAGGCCTAGTGAGGTGCTCTCTGGGGACAGCAGCTGGGCGTTGCCATCTTTGAGCATTCCTCTGCCTTACTCCAGGTCATTGGTATCTCCAGGAAAGGAGCTGGTATGCTCATCTGGCACCCCAATTTCTGCGCCTGTCACCCAGGGTACACCTCTAGATAATCTGGCTCTGGTGGACAGTGGGACTTAATGCTTGCAGTCCCACAGGACTATAGATATGAATCAAAAAATGTGATTATACACTACATTAACAAAATGAAGGATAAAAAATCATGTCATCGTCTCAAATATATGCAGAAAGCATTTGACAAAATTCAACATCCCTCTATTTTAAAAAACCCTCAAGCTGGGTATAGAAGGAACATACCTCAACATAATACAAGCCATACATAACAACCTCCCTAGTTAACATCATTACTCAGTGGTAAAAAGTTGAAAGCTTTGTTCTAAGATCAAGAACAAGACAAGGATGCCCACTCTGGCCACGTCTGTGAAACATACTACTAGACATCTGAGCCAGAGCATTCAGGCAAGAAAAAGAAATATAAGACATCCAAATAGAGAAGTAAAAAGTAAAAGTGTCACTTTATAGATGGGACATGATATTACATCTAAAAACCCTACAGACTCCACCAGAAAACTGCCAGAACTAATAAACAAATTCAAAGTACAAAAACAATATGCAGACATCTGTTGCATTTCTATACACTAATAATAAACTATCAGAAAGAGAAATGAAGAAAACAATCCCATTTACAATTTTATCAAAAAGAATAAAATACCAAGGAATACAGTTAACCAAGGTGAAAGACCTGTACACTGAAAACTAGTAAGACACTAACGAAAGAAATTCAAAACATAAAGAAGTGGAAAGATATTCTGTGCTCATGGATTGGGAGAATATTGTTAATGTCCCTACTACCCAAAGCAATCTGTAGATTCAATGCAATCCCTATAAAATTCCAATGGATTTTTTCACAGAAATAGAACAATCCTAAAATTTGTATGGAACCACAAAAACCCCAAATAGCCAAGGCAATTCTGGGAAATAACAAAGCTGGAGGCATCATGCCTCCTGATTTCACGCTATACTGCAAAGCTACGGTAATCAAAACAGTTAAGTATTGACATAAAAACATACACACAGATCAATGGAACAGAATAGAGCCAGAAATACACTCACCTATATTTGGTCAATTACTTTATGACAAGAGTAGAAGAATATATTATTGGATTTGAATGAGATATTAACACTTAAAACTAATTAAAAAGTTTAAAAGTAAGTAGAAAATCCTACAAATAGTTAATCAAATATCATAAACTATGGTATAAGGAAGGATTGTTTATATATTTCTTACGTTTCTGAAGGTGGAACCTGCTTTTAACAAGTCTATCATTCATGCTCTTTAGGAACACATTTTATTCAGAAGTTTGGACTGTTTGTAGCAGTTTAGAATCTCAGAATTGTAATTTATTATCTTGGTGTTTAGGGGAAATTATGGTGAAGTACACAGGAAGCCCATAGACCTAGTTTCTAATACTGGATCTATCTTTGATCTCATATAAACCCCATCAACCTTAGCCTGGCCCAGCACATCTGCAAGTAGAGATGAAATACAGTTCTACAGATCTGAAGTTTCTTCCAAGTTAGAAGGATCATCCCTGTTTATTTATGTATTATACTTCTTCCCCATTCCTGATATTTCTATCTGTGACACTAAGAAGATCCACAGCTGTGGCGCTTCACCTTCTATAAATTCCTAAGGAGTAAACAGGCATTTGTTTGGTAAATATAAGAAAATCCTGAGTATATTCTGCTCAGTTTTGTCAACTTTTTTCTCTAGGGAGCTAGAGGCCTCAGAGAGTAAGATGTTTCCACTGTCCCACCAGGGACAGCCAGACCTGGTTTGGCACTGCCTGTTACTAAGGTTAAATCTGCCAAATTCTAGGATTTAGTCAGTAGATGAGGCTTTTGTACCGTAATTTGTCAATAATAAAATATTTTATTTTGGTTCCCTTCTGTTACTTCTTGGTGTTCATTTTCAACATGCTTAAACACAAGGAAGAGAGGTATCATTAACCAGATGCCTTGCAGTGAACAACATTAAACTACTTGATCAACACTACTTAGTACTGCTGTACTCAGATGAACTGAAATCCTCAGAGAAGCTAAGCTAAACAGTAACATTTTATGACATCTAAGATCAGGTGCCTTCCCTATAAATGTTAGGCAGGAAACAGTACCTAAAAGTTACAGCTTCTTGACTATAAATTTAGGAAGACAGGCCAGACTCCTCAAGGATAAATAATCTACAGTTAGTCAGACTGAGGAGTCTCTGATCAGTCACATGTAAGAGTGATTCTCTAAAATCCAAGACAGTACAGAGTAATTGTGTGAAGGCTCTTCTATGTTATCTAGAGTTATCTATGGAACTATGTCAGAACTAAACAACATCTAGGAAGTAAAGCTCAAGTTTATTATTTGGGCTTTGGATCAGTGCCCAAATTGCATAAAATAATCTGACCAAAAACTCTGTTTACTATTCAGTTAGAGGAGTGACTGAGAAAGAAGGGAAGACATTAAGGTGATGCAAATTTCTTCAAATCCAAGATGGAGCTGAAATAATTTTTATGATTGTCACCGAGAGAGCAGTCTAAAAATATTTTTTAAGCACCTACCAGAATCGGGACCTTTGGTAGGTGTGAGGTACACTCTGGTACTCAGCATGGTATTGGTACAAAAACAGACATATAGACCAATGG